TAAAACATTCATTGATAAATAAACTAGAATTACAATAAATTAAACGTTACATAATTACTTCGATAGGTCAAAAGTTTCAGGAATACGAAAATAATATTCACGAAACTCTTCCTAATGACTAACATATGGGTCTTCCCATGCAGATGCAATGGCACTTTTATATGTGATCCAAAGTGGATGAGTCATCGGCTAAGGACAACCTTCGCGTAATGCCGCTTTAATATAAAGGTTATCATTCACATGTGCAATGACGATTGTCCCATGTGGCTCTGATTGTGGTGGACTGGACCAAAGCGGGAAAATCATAGTACAACCTCCGACGTTTCCTCCATTAGCTGGACTTATAACAACTCTATTGTATGCAGAAGCAATAATCAATCCCGTGTTTGGCATTTCCATCCATTTTCCAGCTAATTGTACGATTTTATAGATTTTTTTATAACCTGTCGTTCCAAATATATACTTATATTTTTGCTGGTTAACATCTAACTCCCGCATCAAGTCTGACCGAATTCGAGGCCATTGGTCTTCAAATAGTAAGATAAGGACGAAAAATTTGTGGAAGTTGTTTCAAAAATCTTTTCGAACCAGGTCTGACAAATGATTGGCTTACATATGAACTGTGTCTCACGGGTTCTTCGTTTAAATCCGGGAACAAGTCGCGTGGTTACATATGAATTGTGTCTCGCCGTTTCAATATTTGTCGGTTCCAAATTCAAGTCTATATCAAAAAATCTGGTGGAATAACTAGTTTTACCAGGATCTTGATTTTTCGGATCAACACACTTCTTCTTTTTTTGTTTCTTCAAGCTTGGCCGCCCATGAGTTTTTTCTTAACTGCGGGTTCTCTCATAAGATTTGTGTTTGGATTGAATATATCGCCTAGTTTTCTTAAGAAACTCTTCTTTCCAGCGTTAGATTACCTTTTGAATTCTTATTTGAAAATGTGCAGTTCATCGTCACATTGAATATCTTCATTTTCCAAGGGTGTTGACCATGAAACATCTAGTGTCCTCCAAAAAATATCAATTGAATCCAAAGGAATATCCTCGCCTGAAAAAACAAGTTTTAGTTTCTAAAAAACAAAGACCTCCAAATAATAAAATAATTTTAGTTAAATAAACTGACCGGAATTTAAGTACGCTGAAAGTACGCAAGCACAAGGTAGCCCACAACTCTTACGAAGTTGACAACCACATGTTGAGTAGTTAAACTCAAGATCACTCAATCGATGTAGTTCTCCTAAAATCATATCAAGAGCCTCATTTGAAACAAAACCCTGTAATAAGTTGAAACATGGCTGGTTATGTCGATGATAACGATAAATTCTACTTCTTTCAAAGCTTTCATTCATTGTTGTAACTTGGGACTGCACGATTTGATTGATATAGCCCACAAATTGATCTAGTGAATATTTTTTGGATTTCAAGTACTTTTTTAACTTGGCGTGTTAACTTTCAACTCTGTTGGTTGTGCGATTGCCAAAGTTGAGAGGCTGATCACTCCATGCAGACACAAACATTTCTTTATAATTATTAAACCACTGTTCATCCAAATAACTTAAAACACCTGAAAAATTAAATAAAATTAAAATATAATTATTTGATATGAAATAATAAAAAATAATATTTAAAAAAATAAAAATATGTCAAATATAAAAAATTACGTGGATATTTCCTCAATACTAATTGAAGTTGCTTGTAGTTCTCCATGTACGATATCCACGTCGGAGAATCTTCTAGTAACTTCTACGTCGAAAGAAAAGAGTCCCAATCACGTTGCGTCTTGATTGTTGGTCTGCAATTCTTCAAAATATTTTGGCTAATGTGCCATCTACAAAGTAATCGAGTAGCATTCGGAAAAACTTTTTCGCATGCTTTTATGAGAGCCAACTCTCTGTCAGTAATTATAACACGTGGTAGCATGCACTCATCTAGTGTCAACTTTAAACACTCTAACACCTACTTATAGTTGTCTATCTTTTCTTCACTTATAAAGGCAAAAGCTATGCAAAATGTCTTTCTTGTAGGAGTTACGCCAACAATCTCAACAAAAGACATATTATACTTGTTCGTCTTGTACGTAGCATCTATAATCAACACATGTGGGAATACACGCCATATCTTAAAAGATGTCGGATGAACAAAAAATAAAGCTTCCAGCTCGTTCGTAACATCATTTGTAGAAAAGTCGTGAACATAACCATTGGAGTGTAAAAGAGACATAAGAACCTGCATTCAAATTCTCATAATTAAATTACACTTTGATTATTTGAAAATAAAAAAGTCAAAATATAAAAGAAACAAAAAAAGATGTGTAATGTTTTAACTACATCTTACTTTTCCCAACTTGTAAGGACTTGCGAATTTTATATTGTGCATTATATATGTCTTTAAGTGTTGACACGCTATTTTCATTTTACGACTTTAATATCGATCGAATGTCACGTGGTGGCACATTCTTTTTTTTCATATCTTCAACCAATCGATATTCATCTTTAGACAATCGTCTCACATATGGATGCCCCTCCATATGTTGTGTAGGAAGATGATTATGTTCATCACATATTACACTTATCAACAAACCATTATATATACTTGAATACTTTCCTACCAATTGGAATGGACAATTAATTTTTCGGGTAGCAGAATTTTTACTTGTTTCATTCGGTTTATATTCACCACCAAGATCGCACCTAAGCACGACTTCATACAAAAAACCACTTGTATCCGTGTATGATCTTTGAGTTATTATGACGTAACCAAGAGAGCACTCCTTGCTTTGCGCCCAATTTTTTAAATCTTCGTGAGTGCAAAACACCTAAAATTCAATTTATTTTCATTTATGACGATATATTCTTGCAGAATATTTATCGTAGTAAATAAAATAAAATAAAATAAAATTATAATATGTGATTGTTTTACCTGATTAGAGAAAAAAGGCGACGTCGATGTAGAAAATTTAGCACCATTTGAGTTGTTTTCAGAAGAAAAAAATGACATTTTTATGCGTCAAATGAGAACAAGATTCCTGCAACAAAATAAAAAAGTTAAAATCAAATACAATTATATAAAATAAAATAAAAAAATTAGCTATAATATTTACCTCTATTTATTACACTCAAATTTCCAGTCCAGAAATCATCTGCTTGTTGATGAAACTCTCTCTGTTGTTGATCTTAGTTGCTGCCTCCTGTTGGTGTTCTCTTTTCTGATCATCGACCCTCCCTTGGTTCCTTCAATATATGCTCCTCTATTGATGGTGAATAATTGGGAGTATAGGTGGAGTAAGTGAGAGTATAGGTGGAGTTTGTTTGATCGTGGAGTTTATTTGATTGTGGAGTGGTTGTTTATGTCGGAGCATTCGATTTGATTAATTATTGTTTTATTGCAAATCACTCAAACAATTCACTGAATATACCCTAACCCATACACACGAAACATTAAAGTAAACTAATTGATTATCAAAATATGTTTGATTGTGGTCTAGAGTGGGAGATAGGTGGTGCTCATACTTTTTGAAAAAGAACTCTATAAATAATGATTTTATTGGTAAATTTAGTAAATGGTGTCAAAAGTTGGTTTAATATGGTACATTTAGTAGTACCCTTTAACTTTTACTGCATGACGAACAATTGGATCTAATGTTAGATTCCAAGGTACATCGAGTATGATGTGGATGCTGCGTACGGTGGATACCATGCACGTGAATGCTTAGATGAAGATCCCAAGGGTCAGATCCTCTACTCAATCACATCCGTTGATCTTTCTTCTTTGGGACTGTTAATCATATGTTTTCCAATGTGGCTAAAGATTTCAATCCAAGGGCTGGCATACAGTTTCTAAATAGGTGTAGTTTTTGCGTGTTAACTAGACAGGACCGTAGCTAATCTAATTCTGAATCTGTTACTGTAGTGGTCGTAGTACTGTACTCGTACCGCAGTTATTCGCATTGGCCCAGATTTATGTATACTTTTAATATTTCTTTGACTGTTCGGCCAATCCAACTTTAATGTCGAATCTCTTGATTTTTAGTTCTATATGAACAAATATATACATATATATATATATATATATATATATATAGTATATGGTTAAATTATTAAAGGAAAATATATTTTTGAAACCTTCCAAGCTGTTTAATAGGCAAAGCATTCAACTCCGTGGTTTTGACAGGGTATCTTCTGCTGCCATTCTTTGCACTTTTTTGTTTTACAAAGCTAATGAATCGTTTATAAAAGTAAGAAGATAATCCTTTCCAGACAGCCAAAGAAGCTATAGTAATAATATCCATCAATGTCACTGAGTAAATCAAATAATTGTGTCTTCTAGGCCGGCTCATACATGCCTTTGTCTAAGGTGTGAGACTCACCATATGATCTGTCATAAGGGTTTGAAACTTTAAAAAAACAAACACAAGGATTAGTCTATGGTCATAATGGTTTACCTTCTAGAACATCATATTAATCCAAGGTTCAAGTTTTGATATAGATATCGGATCATGATATTATTTTTATATGCGGAGTAAACAAGATCGAATTACGTTAAGTCTTATTTTTTGTGTGTGATTTTTATAAAAATCTGATTCTCAACCCTTCATACAGCTTACTTTGCTGGTTTTCTGCAACTTAGTGCTAAAAACTAAAGTGCTTCAGACTTTCGGTTGCACTGTCTTATTCCTTGGGTAAGTCTTTGCATTCCTTTTTGTAGTTTCCACATTTTTATTTTGTCCCAAACATTTTCTTTCCCTTTCGGCGTCGATTCTCGAGAAAAAATGCATTTGTTCCAGTTTTTCTCCCCGCTGTTTGCTAAAGCACTACTCTCATAACCTTTCTTTTTCCCACTTCCTTCTCATTTTGCTTCAACTTGGACCTTAATGCTAAAATGTTTGATTATTTCACTCCATTCTTATTTTAGAAACCTATATCGTATTTTAAGTCGAATTGAATTTATATAATTACAAATTATATCAACTTAAATTAAAATTTTTAACACTAAATCAAATAAAAAATTAATTTTTTCGAATAGAATTTTAGTCCTCCATCCTTACATTGACGACGCCTTTTGTGATGGGTTGGGGTTTGGTCACAGTTTTTGATTTTCTGCTTCCAAAATCCGCACCCTTTTACCATTTCAACATTTGCGAATTGCATTTATCATTTTTTTTTTTTACTTTTTAGTACCCATTCAACGGTAAAAAATTCAAACCTCTCTCTTCGTACATTCTAATTTTCATGTTTCTTTTTCCTAATTTAATAATTTTCTTTTCAGCTCCTAAATGTTGAACAAATCCCAGTAATATCACAACATATATGTTTGTTGCCTCCATCACTTCACCAAATCCAAAAAAACCAATGATGATATCTTCTTGGAGGAGAAGAAGAGCTGCAAAACGTGAAGGGAAACCGCAAAGGAACGAAAATGCTGAGATTGAGTTGAGTGTTCCGAGAGAATTCCGCTGTCCCATCTCGCTAGACTTGATGAATGATCCCGTCACTTTGTCGATAGGGATAACCTTGTTGGAAATAAAACACACACAAAAAACTTTTATTAAAACTCAAACAAATATTACAAGAGCACTCTCTCTCAAAAACAAGAACTACAACTCACTCTTATAAGACTTTGCTTCTTCACTCACTTAGAAGCTCTTAATATTTCTTGATACTTAAAACTAAAATGGGGAGGGGTATTTATACTACTCAAGAATAATCCTACACCACACAAATAAACTAATTTAAACCATTACAAATTCAACAAATACCTAACTCTTACCTAACTAAATTGATGTAAGCAATGACATCATTACTTAAATGATGTAAGCAATGACATCTTTACTTAAATGATGTAAGCAATGACATCAATTTAGTTTGGGTTTGGGTTTAGGCTCCCATAATGGATCAAGTTTATGATCCAACACCCCCCTTAAACTTGATCTCGTGACCCCTAGTAGGTTCCTTAATCTTAAGAAGTCTTCGCTGGTCAGTGGCTTGGTAAAAATATCAGCAATTTGATCTTGTGACTTCACGTATTCAACTTCCACATCTTTTCTTGCAACACACTCCCTTATATAATGGTAGCGAATATACTGGATTCTTCACTAAGGCAATGGCTGACTTGTTGTCGAAATAAACCTTGGTAGGCTCTTCTTGTATCAAGCCTATCTCCTTCAATAGATTTCTAACCCAAATTGTATGACAAACGCATGAGGTAGCAGCAACATATTCCGCTTCACAAGTGGACAATGTGACAATCGGTTGTTTCTTTGACATCCATGTGAAATCAGTATCTCCCATGAAAAATACGAATCCAGTAGTGCTCCTTCGATTATCTATGTCTCCACCCCAATCACTGTCGCTATATCCAATAAGCTTGTAATCATTAGAAACTGAATAGAACAAGCCAAAGTCAATTGTACCTTTCAGATAGCGAATAATTCTCTTTGTGACTTTAAAATGGGTGGTTGTTGGAGATTCCATGTAGCGACTAACCAATCCAACTGCGTGAAGAATATCGGGTCTCGTGCAAGTTAGATAGCGTAGACTTCCTACCAAACTTTTGAAGAATGTTGGATCTACACTTTCGCCTTCTTCATGTTTGGTCATCTTGATCCCGTATTCTGTCGGTGTGCTCATTGGCTTACAGTTCTCCATCTTGAGCTTCTTCAGTATCTCATTTGCATAGCTTTCATGTGAAATAAAAATTCCATCATTTTGTTGCTTAACTTCAATGCCAAGGTAGTACGCCATGAGCCCCATGTCTGTCATCTCGAATTCTTTCATCATCACATCCTTGAATTCATTAAACATGCTTGGGTTACTTCCGGTGAAGATCAAATCGTCCACATAGAGATACACTATCAAAATATCTTCATCTTTGATCTTGATATATAGAGCATGCTCGTAGGGACATTTGTTGAAGCCATTCTCTTGGAAGTACTTGTCGATTCGGCTATTCCATGCCCTTGGTGCTTGTTTTAGCCCGTAAAGAGCTTTCTTCAACTTCAACACCTTGTCTTCGTGCCCTTTGACTTCATAGCCTGATGGTTGCTGAATGTAAACTTCCTCTTCAAGAACTCCATTTAAGAAGGCGGACTTTACATCCATCTGTTGTATCTTCCACTTGTTTTGAGCTGCCAAAGAAATGATTAGTCTGATAGTCTCCAATTGAGTAACCGGAGAAAATACCTCATCATAGTCAATTCCAGCCTTTTGACTATAGCCTTTACCAACTAGCCTCGCCTTGTGCCTTTCAATCTCTCATTTGGCGTTTTGCTTTGTTTTGTACACCCATTTGACACCTATCGCCTTATGTCTCTTGGGAAGTGAGGTAAGTTCCCATGTGTCATTCTTCTCGATGGCCTTGATTTCTTCATCCATCGCATCTCTCTATTTCTTTTCTTGTACCACTTTTTGAAAGCTCACTGGTTCACAATCGGTAAACAAACAAAATAATGTAAGATTATCTTGTCATTCAGTTACCTCATAGAGATCTCTATGGCTTCTTGTGCATTGCACAACTCTTTCACTTTGACTCCCACTTGACGATGAGGAAGGTGATGAGTCTCCTTGAGTGGTTGATGTTAGTGAAGTGGGTGGAGTTACAAGCTCTTGTTGAGATTCATCTAGTTGTTCCCTCATTGTTTGCTCATCTTCTTCAAACTGAGGAAAGAAATTGAAGTCATCTGTATGAGAGTTAAAATCCCATTCTCCTTCTTCGTTGAAGACCACATCTCGACTAATCACAAACTTCTTATTGTTTGGATTGTATAACTTGTAGCCCTTCGAATTAGCATCATAGCCGATGAAGATAAAACTCTCACTTTTATCATCAAGCTTTGTTCTTCTCTGGTCTGGTACGTGAACATGGGTTATACTTCCAAAGGTTCTCAAGTGGGAAATGCCAGGCTTTCTTCCACTCCATGCTTCTTGCGGTGTCTTTCCCCATACACTTCTTGTTGGAGATTGGTTTGTCAAGTAGACTGCACACGCTACTGTCTCCGCCCAAAATTCCTTGAATAGTTTCTTGCTTTTCAGCATGGTTCGTGCCATGTCGAGGATTGTTCTATTCTTTCTTTCTGCCACACCATTTTCCTGGGGGGATCTAGGAATTGTCATTGGTCGACGAATTCCATTTGCTTCACAGAACTCTTGAAACTCACTGGAAGTAAATTCTCCACCTCGATCGGATCTCATGGCTTTGATCTTTTTACCGCTTTCTCTCTCCACTGCTGTCGTAACCGGTTTTCGTCCGGGTACGAAATATTTATTTGGCGGGAAAATTGATGTGAATAAATGGTTTTTGAAAATAATTTGAGAGTCGCCATCGGCCTTTAGGGTCAGGTAGGTCGAATACCTAAAAATTATTTTTTTAAAAGAGTTTTAAGAAAACATCAATTAAAAAATGAACTGATCTACGTTTATAACCAAAAATTCGTTCTTTTTAATAATAAAAAGGGATTCGTGGTCGGTTACGTTTAGGGAAGGATTAGCACCCCTACAACGCCCAAAATTAGTACTTTTTAATTATAAATTGTCTCTATTATTAAAAATTTAAAAATTCAAAATATATTTAATTTATAATCCTATTATTTCAAAATTATATAAAAAATATTTAAAAATATCAGAAAAGGACTTCTAGGTTCCTTAAGACAGCTCTTTTCTTTGATATTAATAAATATTAATTTGAATAAAATTAAATAATAATTTTTTATAATATTTAATTTTAAAATACCAGAATAGGACATCCAGTTGTATTAAGACTGCCCTTTTATTCGATATTGAAAAATAAATGTTAAAAATAATTTATTAAAATAAATATTTATTTATTATATATATATTTATGACTACATAATAATAATAAAAATATTTAAATATATAAACAAGTAAAATTAAAATAATAAAAATACAATTAGAACTATATATTTAAAATCAATAAAATAAATAAAAATATTTAAAATTATTGACTAAATTATAGTAAATTAAAATTAAAAACCTAATTCAATATTAATCAAAATTATAGGGATTAAACATGCTATTTTCTTATTTATTAATTTAGTGACTAAAATAAAACTATATAAAATTCGGATATTAGAATAAAATAAATTAAAACATACTATTCAGATTAAAATATTAATTATTAAAATTATAGGACTAAATCTGTTATTTACCCTATATATATTATTTTAATATAAAGGACTAAAATAAATAAAATTGAAATTAAAGAACCAAATTAAAAGGATTATAAACTCGATTTAGTGACTAAAATGGAAAGTTTATAAACTAGGATGACTGTAGAAAGGATTTAACTATTAATAATTACACAAATAGCCCTCCCCGAAACGACGTCGTTCGGGAAGGGCTATTTAAAGCCAGAAACGGATGGCCCTTCGGGCCAGCTCTCTCATTCTCCATTTTTCATTCTCTCTCTAACTGAGAGAGAATGAAAAAGCTCTCCCTTCTCTCTAGCTTCCCTCATCGGAGGGAAGCCGGTCACCGGACGGCAACCGTCTGCCGCCGTGACCCTCACCGTCGGCCACCGCATCCGGTGGCTAGAAAATTTTATTTTTACATCATTAGGTAGATCGGACCGTCCTAAGGACGGTTCCGGTGCTCTTTTCTCCTAAATAGCTCCCGATCGGAGCAAATCTAAAGAAATACCTTCAGTTTTCGAAGGTTTTGGTGAAGTTTGAAGAGGTCCGGTGGCTTCCTCGGTAAGCTTCTTTCCTTTCTTTTTGTTTCTGTTTTGGTTTACTGCGGATTGTGGGTTATTGTTCTTTGTTTTTGTTCTCTGTTTTTGCTGGTCTCTCTCTGTTCCTCCCTCCCTTTTTTTCGCAGATGGGGTGATGGCTTTATAGCCATCACCGGTGTGGCCATCGGACCGGGTAAAGAATACCCTTCGGTAAGTCACCGGACTCCCAGTGGTGACTCACCCCATAGCCATAACGTGGACGGCTGGCGTTGGAGCTTCTGGAGCCTTCGGTTGGGGCGTGACAGCGGCTGGAGCGAAGTGGAGCGGCGGCAGCTGGTGTAGTCCCTAGGGTATCATAACCCTAGGGTTTCGTCTGGCGCCATCTGGACCGTTGGATCAATGCTAGATCCAACGGTGGAGAAGCAAAGCAGCGGCAGCTGGATAGAAAACCCTAATTGGGTTTTAGGGTTTCTAATTTGGGCCAGTTGGGTCCTTTGTAATTGGGCCGGTCCAATCTGGGCCTGTTTGTAATTATTTTTTAATAATAATAATAATAATAATAATAATAATAATAATAATAATAAAATGAGTAAAAAAAATTTAGTATCTTCAGCTGCCCCTCTTTGCTCATTCTTGTGTTAACAAGAATAGGGCAAAGATGAAAAGATAAATTTTTTTATCCATTTGGCTTCACTTGATTAGTATGGAGATATTGAATAAATTCTTCTTTTTCTTTCAGATGAGTTCTTCTCATTATGAACTTTCCGCTGGGGATGATGTTGACCTCTTTCCTTCTGTGATAGAGTCATTCAAAAGGTTGAATAAGCTCTTCTTATTATGAACTTCTTCTTCAGATGAGTTCTTCTCATTGTGAACTCTTTCTGGAAATGCTGATGATGATATATCTCCTTTTATGATAGGGTTATGCAAAAGGTCGAACAAGCTCTTCTCATTATGAACTTCTT